GCCCTTTCAAGCCACAAGCTTTTGAAATCTTGATGTCAAAATCCAGCATTTTTCCAAAAAAAAAACTGGCGCCTAAAGGGTTAATCCTTATTCGTATTATCCACATTAATCCTTTATTATTAACCCTTATTATAATTAACCATATTAACCCTTATTTTAACCTTTATTGTTAACCATATTAACCCTTCATTAATAAACTTTATTATAATTAACCATATTAACCCTTTATTATAATCAACCATATTAACCCTATATTATTGCACTAGTGTTATTAAACACATTATCCCTTAAGCCTTGAATGATTTATTTTAGAGCATTGGATATTTTACTGATGGGTTGCATTTCTTCACAGGCCAAACACAAGCGTTACTTCGGCCACTCAGCCCACGTGACCAACATCCGTTTCTCTAACGATGACAAATATGTGATAAGTGTAGGAGGCAACGACTGTAGGTGAGCTCACATCTATCTGTCTATCAGTCCGTCGGTCTGTCTGAACTCTTATTAATGCGTCTCCTCTGTCTCTCAGTGTGTTCGTGTGGAGATGCATCTGATGGGCCTCCACACAGCTGGGAATCTCTCCTCCAAACACCAAGCCGGAGATACCTCCAGTGTCCGGATGCTGCACTTCTGTTATGCTGCGTTTACCCCTCTAGACCAGATGGATCCTGGACGAGCCGGAGTTCGAAGAGGGTTTTTTTAACCATTCTGTGAAGTGCAATGTTTACGCTTACATGTACTTTTACAAAGAAAAAAAAGATACACTCATAAATCATGCCACTATTTCAGAAATAAATGTATTTTTTGTTCGGATTCTGAAGTGCCTTGGAGACACAGTTTGCTGATCTTTGCCCCGAAGTGTTCATATGATGCATATATGGTGCTAAATGTCCACTTAGAGCTTTTTGAAATTCTTTTAAAAAATCATGCATTATGCAATTTATTTTCTTCTTTATCTTCTTTTTAAATTTTGTACATAAATGTCAACTCACTAAATGCTCTTCCTGTTGGAACATGGGACTCAGGAGAAATTAAGTACTGTAATGTGTAGACGTTATATTTGACTTGTGCTATTTTTGTTAAAATATTTATTTTTTATGTACGTATTTGCGTATGACGTATGCAAATTAGTCGGTCGGTCGGTCTGTGGGCGTATATGGAAATTGAAAATGCAAAAAACTCGCTGTTCAAATATTACAGTTATATGAAATGTACGTAGTAGCGTTGTCTGTTGCGACGTGTGTAGATTGCGATGCGCTGTTTGTAGCCAATGACATGACAGCAGCTGTTTATCGTGCGCAGATATCGCGTTATATCTGTCATTTGTATGTTCATGTTTTTGTAATTTGTCTGATCAGAGGTCAGTCTAATTGAAAGCTATATAATAATGCATGACTCGAAGTCTGTGTGGTTGCTGATCATGAATGAATACTGTTGTTTTATAATTAAAGAGAACTATGCTCACTTGTGACACTCAGTGTGTCCGTCTTTCACCAGATGATGGCAGTGTGTGTATAAACTGTGTTTCTCAAAACACAATATTTGTAACCCTGTTCAATGAGACGCACAAGATAAGCTGTGGAAATTATTATTGGATACAGTATTTAATAAGGTGAATTTCACTAATAAATATCACCATATTCCTCAGTTGATTAATCAGTATATTAAGACTATTGTTTTGTATTATGAAATGTATTACATGTTTAAATAGTCATCACACACACACACACATTATATATATATATATATATACACTACCATTCAAAAGTTTGGGATCAGTAAGATTTTTAATATTTTTTAACAAAGTTTCTCATCAAGGCTGTATTTGATCAAAAATACAGAAAAAACTGTAATATTGTGAGATATTATTTCAATTTCTAATATTGCGTTTCTGTTTTAATATACTTTAAAATATAATTGATTTCTGTGATGTAAAACTGAATTTTCAGCAGCTTTGCTCCAGTCTTCAGTGTCACATGATCCTTCAATGTGAAACTTAATCAAAAATACAGAAAAAAATGATTAATTGTTATTACAATATAAAATAATGGTTTCTATTTTAATATCCTTTAAAATATAATTTATTTCTGTGATCAAAGCTGAATTTCCATCAGCCATTACTCCAGTATAAAGTGTCTCAAGATCTTCAGAAATCATTCTAATATGCTGCTTAATATTTTTTTGGAACCTGTGATACTTTTTTTCAGGATTCTTTGATGAATAAAAAGTTAAAAAGAAGAGCATTTATTTAAAATAGAAATATTTTCTAACAATGTACACTACAGTTCAAAAGTTTGGGGTCAGTACATTTTTATTCTTAATTTTTTTGAAAGAAATGAAAACTTTTATTCAGCAAGGATGTGTTAAATTGATAAGAAGTGATAGCAAAGATTTATATTGTTAGAAAATATTTATATTTTGAATAAATGATGTTCTTTTTAACTTTTTATTCATTAAAGAATCCTGAAAAAAGTATTGCAGTTTCCAAAAGCACAACTGTTGCCAACATTGATAATTCTAATAATAAATCAGTTTTTTTTAACTAATTTCAAAAAGTGAAACTTTCATATATTCTAGATTCATTACATGTAAGGTTTTGTTTGTTTTATCCAGTATCCCAAAATATTAGAATATTTACATTTGAGTTTCATTAAATGAGCATCCCTATAGTATAAATTGCGGGTATCTCTTGTTCTTTGAAAGCACAATAATGGGGAAGACTGCTGGCTTGGCAATGGTCCAGAAGACGATCATTGACACCCTCCACAAAGACGGTAAGCCACAGAAGGTCATTACTTCACAGAGTGCTGTATCAAAGCATATTAAATGCAAAGTTGACTGGAAGGAAGAAATTGGGTAAGAAAAGGTGCCAAAGCAACAGGAATGACCGCAAGCTTGAGAATACTGTCAAGCAAAGCCGATTCAAACACTTGGGAGAGCTGGGTGGCTGTTCACAGAGTGCTGTATCAAAGCATATTAAATGCAAAGTTGACTGGAAGGAAGAAATTGGGTAGGAAAAGGTGCACAAGCAACAGGGATGACCGCAAGCTTGAAAATACTGTCAATCAAAGCAGATTCAGACACTTGGGAGAACTTCATGAGGAGTGGACTGAAGCTGGAGTCAGTGCATCAAGAGTCACCATGCTCAGACGTCTTCAGGAAAAGAGCTACCAAGCCACTTCTGAAACAGAAAAACGACGAGAGAAGCATCTCACCTGGGCTAAGGAGAAAAAGAACTGGACTGTTGCTCAGTGCTCCAAAGTCCTCTTTTCAGATAAAAGTAAATTTTGCATTTCATTTGGAAATCAAGGTCTGGAGTCTGGAGGAAGACTGGAGAGGCACAGAATCCAAGCTGCTTGAAGTCCAGTCTGAAGTTTCTGAAGTCAGTGATGATTTGGGTGTGTGACGTCTGCTGGTGTTGCTCCATTGTGTTTTATCAAAGATTTCCTTTTCCAGCAGGACTTTAGCACCTGCCCACAGTGCCAAAACCACTTTCAAGTCCTTTGCTGACCATGATATTACTGTGCTTGATTGGCCAGCCAACATGCCTGACCTGAAGCCCATCTGGAATCTATGGGGTATTTTTCAAGAGAAAGATGAGAAACAGTGGATCTGAGCTGAAGCTCAATAGTTCTCAGCAGAGCTACAGGCTGATGGCTTCATGCCACACCTCACTGATGCTGGAGTTTGTGCCAAACGAGCCCCGACGAAGTATTGAGTGCAGAAATCAACATACTTTAAAGAACTTGAACTTTTCTGTTTTGCAAATCCTTTTTTTGATTGATCTTAGGAAATATTCTAATA